CTCAGTGTACATATAGAAAAATAAAATATAATACATTCATCAAGAATCATAAGATACAACACTTAGTGATAGTCATAGGTTACCAATAAGCAATTAAATCATACTAGGAAACAAATAAAACAATATAAATTGTAAAGATACGTACAAGCAACATGGCTATAGTCATAAGTGGGAAGAGATAGGTATTAGGAAGGATGAGAAGAAGAATAGAAATACAGTCTTAGTAAATAATTTGAAAGTGTTGTGGGAATTAGTTGTTTAGCAAAGTGAAAAATTGGTTATACACAACCAAAAGTGAATGTGATCTTCTGGAATCTTCCTTGCTTACTTGTCCAGCCAAGCCTGAATCTCATTGCAACAGCAGGAACCTGCCATCAGAATTCATGGTGAAGGTGTGGAAAACATTGTTCTAATCATAATTCATAACCCAAAAGAAAATAATCATTTTAAGCTCTTTCCTTGATTACCTTTTCTGTCTTTTTTCTTTTGAAATCACAGACCTGCAGTTGTCATGTGTGAGATTTTTTCTGGAGAATCATCTTTAATTGTGTGGCTTGAATGAATGTTTTCCTCGGATGTTCATGCCTTCAAATTGACTATTATGTACTAATGGTTGGTTGGTTTTAACAGACTAATTCTTTTCTTTTTAACATAAATAAACTGACTGTGTATTGCAATGTGTATTCTAACACATATGTCTCCTGTCTGCTCAGCCTTATTGTGCTCGCTCTTTCTACCTATAGCGTTTGTTGTTCGTTTTCGTGCATTGATTGTTGCTTCCTTTTATTAATACTTACAACTGCATGTTACATCTCTTGGCCTACAACAGAAGTCAGTATAGTATAAAGGAGTTTTCTGGGCAGAAATAAGGAAGTAGTTATTTTGTCTTATTTCTAGGGTTTCTAGGGTTTTTTGTTGTTGCTTTTGGTATCATCTTCCAAGTCGGGCTTAACCCTACTTACCTTTAAGTAGATACACAAGAACAGACAGTTTTCTTTTAAATATAACCTGAAAGTTTAGATATTTGATTCTTAAGGAAATGAGGCTAATGAATCTGTTTATTTGATTATCACAAAGAAATGTTACATTTTAAGAAATTTAAGGAAATTGTGTAGCTGCTATGTAGCCAGCATACAGTAAGCATATAGCCATAATGTATATACAGAGAGATAATCATTGTAACAATAATACTCTTGAAATATAAAGCAAGAAGGTTCAAGAGTAAGGAACACACTCTAAAAGTAAAACAGTTTATTTCCTCATAAAGCCAATATACTTTCTGAAAATAAACGGACATATATAGCAAAATGTCCTATTTGACATGAATCCTATTTTGGCTACAGATGAGAAATTGAATTGGTGTTTTTTTTAAAGCATCAGATTACACACCCTCTGAGTTACTCAAAAGGGGCATTATAAACAAATGTGGCAAAAAGTATAGAAAATTGTAATTATTAATTGGCATTGTGGTCACTAGTGAAAGGAACACAAGAGCCTGGACGCAATTCTGTGGTGATGGTCGATGAGATTATTTGTTCCAGTCCTCCGAAATACCGTTTCCCTGAAGCTGGCTTGCGAATAATGATTACCAATAAATTTGGGCCAAGAACCAGACTACGGATGGCAAGCAGGTTAATTATTAATGAGGTGAGTCCAGAGTGGAGAAAATAATTAACATGTTGACTAGCTTAGTTGATTACTTTTTACGAGTCCTAGTCATTTAATTCTTACTATGTTCGGTTCTTAAAATAATTAATTCATAGTGTGAATTAATTCAGAGCTCTCAAAAAATGCATGTATTTATCTCTCAATTTGCATATTGAAATATTTCATGAATTATATTTGTAATTGAATTACATTAACAATTGAAATTAAAATCAAAGTCAATTAAATAAAATTGGAATTACATACATTTCAATAAAATTCATTGAAAACTTCAATTTGTAAATTGAAGCTATTAAAAAAAAAGAAATAAATCCTCATGCTGGTTGATGGGAAAATATTTTCAAAAGTAAGGGCTTACTATTAAAATACACAGGAGTGGCTGATGCTAGAGATGGTCTCTGCTCCAGCTGTTCGAGTCCTAGCACTATGAGTCGGGGTGAACTCCCATCACTCGCTTTAGCTTCTGTCTACCTAACAGTTCAAAAGTATGTTTTATATGAGTAGATAAAATAGGTACCACTTTGGTGGATGGATGAGCTGGCTCTCCATGCAGGCAGTCAGATTCCTGCCCTCTGAGCCTTCCTGGCTGCGTCACTCCTTTGCAAGGCGGCTCTGGAGGAGGGAGAGGATGATGCTGCAGACAGAGCCACTCATCTCTCTTTCTGGTGTGGTACACCATGGGAAGCGCACGATTGATTCCTACAACAGAGCTTGTACCTTGGTAGCCAAATTACTACTCTGCAATTGCAGTGTAGTCTCCTGGCTAATGTAACAATGCTGTTGGCTAATAATAAATAATAATGATTTATATTATTATTATTTAATAATAATTTCTAATATTATTTAATAATAATAATAATAATTAGAATACTAACTTCTTAGAATTTAAAAGCCCAGGTAAATAAATAAACAAACTGCATCCAGGTGTTTAAAGAGCAGGTTGCTCTTAGAGTCATTGGGCTTTTTTCTGTACATTTTAGCGTCAGCGTCTAATTCATTCTTCCAATGGCCAGTTGATTCAGAATGGAAGACATGAGAATATTGAAAATGGGGCCATCCATGCTGAGAACCAAGAGGAAGCAGGACACATTGCCCAGTCTCCATTTTCACCACCAGGTAAATATTCAAGGCACATTATGGAATAAACAAGAGAGCAAGAACATTTCTCTAGGAAAACCCTGCCAAAGAATTAGAGCTGCAAAAAAGAATGCCATTTTTTTCCCATTAGGGTTGGGAATCCTAGGGGTTGAAGTCTACAAACCTGAAAGTTGACAAGTTTGAAAAATACTGTTTTAGTGGAAAACTGGAGTTGACCTATGGAATATCTATGGAGATTCTCAATAAACCAGGTCATGGTTGTCCCAAATATGTTTTTTCAAAAGGCAGTTGGATTTTCTTTGTTTTTCCTTGAAGATGTTTCGCTTCTCATCTAGGAAGCTTTTCAGTTCTCACTGAATGATGGAGAATGGGAAGATTTAATGACTAGATGACTGCAAGGAATATAAAAAAGGGAATGTCCAGTTGCCTTTTGAAAAAGCCCCTTTGGGACAGACTTGTAGAATCATTTCTTAGGTCTTCTGGAACAGTGTTTCTAAACCCCAGAAACATTAAGATGTATGGACTTCAACTCCCAGAATTCATGTTTTTCAGCTTGTTTTGAGCCAGTGTAACCATTTTAGCTATAAAATGTAAGGTGACCAGACGTCCCGCTTTTGGCAGGACAGTCACGATTTTTAATAATTTGACCCGTGTCCCGCAGCGTGTTCAAAAAGTCACGATTTTCCAAAAGAAAGAAAACAATTTTTAAAAGGACGCTGTTAAAAAAAAAAGTTTTTATTTCTCTGAAGTGTCGTTCCCGATGTGGCCTTTAGAGGGCAGTGGTTTCCCTCTCTCCGCTCGGCTCCAACGAGGGGCAAAGCTCCCTCCCCTCCTGTGCGCTGATGCGTGCCATTTTTCTGCAGGGAGAGCGAGGACTTTCTGGCGGCACGGCAAGGAGGAGGCTCAGTCCAGGGCCAAGCGGCTCAGCTGTCAGAAGGTTTTTTTTTTGCCCGCTTCTTTTGGGCGCCACTCTCCCTGCAGCCATTTCTACCTCTTTCTCCTTTTTGTCCTTTCTCCTCCTTCCCCCCAAAAAGAGAACGAGAGGGAGAAGGAGGTGTGGGGGAGACGGTGGGATCGCTGCTTTCTGAGCTTGGTGCAGCAAGGATCCCCCACCCCACCTCCTCTTTCAGAAAGAGGAGGTGTGGGGGAGATGGTGGGATCGCTGCTTTCTGAGCTTGGTGCAGCAAGGATCCCACTATCCTACTATTTTATTTTTCTTTATGTACACTGAAAGCATATTCACCAAAGACAAATTCCTTGTGTGTCCAATCACATTGGCTAATAAACTACTCTACTCTACTCTACTCTACTCTACTCATTTCTATTTCAATTCTAACAAGGAGTTTAGCTTCTCTCTCTTGAAAATGTAAGCTAGCATAAGGCATTATAATGCAAGCTAGCCTTAACTTTCAAACAGTTCATTTAGTGAACAAAGTTACAAAGGCATTGAAAAAAGTGACTGATTACCATTTTCACACTTAGTGACCATTTTCACACTTAGCGACCATTGCAGCATCCTCATGGTCACGTGATCAAAATTTTGATGTTTGGCAACAGATTCGTATTTATGATGGTTTCAGTGTCCTGGGGTCTTGTAATCGCCTTTTGTAACCTTTTGATAAAATATAAAATTTTTAATCAATCCCCCCCCCCGGTCAATGGTGTACCTCTTTACCAATCTGAAAATCTGGTCACCTTAATAAAATAAAATCACTGTAGTGTAGTGGCAGAAAAAAAATGGAAACATTCTGCAGCACTTTAAGGTTGAAAGTAATTACTAGCAACATTCAAAATCAAACTGCAATTTTGGCTGATGATTGATCCTCGGTCTATACATAACATAACAAATTGCTTTGTTGGTATCTGATTCTTGTTTCATTTCATTTCCCCCCCCCCAATTTGTTTAGAGTCCTCGAAGTGGGAGAGATTTCATTTTTCCCCATCTTGCTATTTTCAGAAAGTGTAGTAGACTAAATTATGACTGTAGCTGCTGGTTTATACTGCTAGCATATTTTTATTTGATGTTCAGTATTTTAAAAAATATTACTTGTTAACTTGTTAATTTTTTTGTGTGTCACTGACAACATTCAAGAGCAACTGTAATAGAATATGGGTTTGGGAAAGAGGCTAGATAAGCGGCTGTTTTGATTTAATGGACTTCAGAAAGTTATTTCCCATATTTTCAACAATTTTCTTCTGCCAGAATAGGCATTTTAATTTGGTGGGAATATAAAGAATGGCGAAATTATGTGGAGGCTGCAGCCAGGATTTTTAGAGGCTGCTTGCAACAAGTAGCCCTTAATTCATGTACCCTTGATCCAGGCAATTGGATATGATTAGGAATGCTTGAGGACCAAAGCTACTCTTTGGAATGTGCATGTCTCAAAATTTGCAAGGCAGCTATTGAAAAGCATACAGACTGCATAAAAAATGCATACAATTCTGATACAAAGTAACTGCTCTGATAAACTGATATTATATCAAATGCTACATACTGAACATAAAGAGATATATTTCTGGGGAATCTACCTTACTATAGTATTGTGGCCATGGATTAAGATTTATTTTATTTTCTGGTCAGAACATGATTGGAAAGAGAAAAGGTAGGTTTGTGCTTTAATTCTTCCTCTAGTAAAGGGTCTTTTTTTTAAAGGTTTGTATGTAAATGCTCTATGTCTGTGAAAAGTAGAACTGAATCATCAGGATGCTACTAGCTTTTTAAAAATAATTATCCCCATCCCTAAATTGGACATTGAAGAATCTGTTGACTAACTAGAACAAGTTAACAGGGAGAAAATAGTCATATGGAATCTTTGTAAAAACTATTTCTTTTTCAGTGCTTGATTTGAACATTTTAGAAAGTGCTAGGAACCGTTAGGAATTTGAGGAGAATATAAGAACATTTCATAGAACAATTCTGTTTGTTAGAAAATTGTTCCAATCTGCTTTCTGGATAATTTTGGTGTAGCTATTGATTTATAAAATGCTGTAGTCTCGAGTTAGAAATGACAGCTTGGAAAATTGATCATAGCCAGGTACTAAAGTTTCAGATTATACCTAGAAATAGTGGGTAACCCAGCTAAATTCCCTGGCAGAAGCACACTGATGTTAGGAAAGATATAAAGAGAACCATAAGCTTACTTTGGCCATTGTGATCTTATATTTTCTGTATTTCCTTTTAGATCCAATTTATGTCACTTTAGACAAATCTAAGTGCAGTAATGGCTATCTAGCCTGGAAACAGTGTTCTGCTCATTTCATGGTCTCTTGCTGATCATTGCTTGAAATGCGATGGTAAATTAGAATTAATACTCTCTTAGCTGTATACTGAAGATTGCCCCAGTGTTGCTTTCCTGAATGAGAGCCATTTATTATTCATTTTCTCTTATTTTAACTCTGTTGTTATGGTTGTTTTTAGTGATAGAAAACACTCTGCTTCATTTTTTCTACAAAATAACCAGTTAATATAAATGCACAAGCTGGAGAAGAATTGAACAGGAGACTGTAGAAAGTAGGGGCCACAACTTATCTTGAAGAGGACTTTTCTGTCCTGGGGTCCACCTTATCTTTCTTACAGGGATGGGCTGATGGGGTTTTGCAGGGGTTCGGGAGAACCTTTACTAAGATTCTGTGCAGTTTGGAGAACCCCCAAATCCCACTCCTAGCTGTCCCCGCCCACCCCACCCCTCCCAGGAGTCCCTATGCGGTAAGTGGATGCAGGTAAGTGCAAGGCGCACATGGAGGCTCAAGGAGGGTGAAAAACAGGTCTACCGGAAGTTTAAGAAGCCCAGAAATGGGCCCGTTTCCAGCTTCCAGAGCATCTCCAGAGCCTGGGGAGGCCATTTTCGTCCTCCTGGGGGCTCAAGGAAAGCCTCTGTAGTCCGGAGAGGGCAAAAACACCCCCCCAATGATGCAAGAGGCTGACTAGGCCATGGCCACCTCCACCCAGCAACCTGGCAGAGAACCCCTTGCTAAAATTTTTGAAGCCCACCCCTACTTTCTTATCCAATTTGCCTTGTTGAAATGCTTCATGCCAATGTTCTGGGATTCTTCTATTAGTTAGAAAAAGTCTTCGCACATACAATAGGTACATGTAGCAGCCTCTGTTGACAACTCACTGTGCCAGAGAAGGCAAATAGATCAATTGGAAGAACACAACAACTTTTGCTTTGTAGAGTACTCTCAGAGCAGAGGTGGGTTCCTATCAGTTCAGCCCAGTTCGGCTGAACTGGTATTGGTATGGCGGCCTGGGTCACTGGAACTGGCAGCAACCCAGGCTTGCCACACCCCCAAACCGGTTCCCCAGTCTCCACCGCCATCTTGTTTTTGTGTTCTGTGCATTCGCAGAACAATTTTAATTGAACTGTGTGCACACGCAAAGCACAAGCATGAGCGAACCGGCAGTAAAGCCAGCCAGAACCCACCCCAGTCTCAGAGCAATGCTACTCCCAAGGCAATGGCAGATTGAAGCATTTCTTCAAAAAGGACCTCAGTCTATGCACATAGTTAACCAGTAGGAAGATATATTTGTTCATTAACTGAATGGTTTCACTTTGCCTTTGAAGAGCCTGCAAAAACTTCACAATGCCGATTGTATCAAAATCCCATCAATCCCACAATGGATGTTTTTCCTTGGTTGCTGTTTATTTCCTAGTCTCAGTTTAGAATACTTGCTGGTTTTATTCTTTGGCATCCTAAATATCCTTTAACATCCTAAAGAAGGTCTTGCTTATTTAAACGATTGCCTCTTCTAGTGAGACATTATGACTTCGATTGGCAAGTGTCTTGGAAAAGGTTTCTCTCTTTCTAGGACCATTGGTTGGGAAGAGGGATCCTTTTTTTTAAATCACTCCAAACTGTAACACTCTTTTCCTTTGTGACTGCAATTGCATCACAATTACAATTGTTATTATTATTTTCTCTTTGCTTTTCCCAAATGTTTATTCTCGCGTTCTTCCAAATAGCTTCAGCATGGTTTAAATCAGTGGTCTCCATCCTTGGCAACTTTAAGACTTGCTGGCTGAGGAACTCTGGGAGTTGAAGTCCACAGGTCTTAAAGTTGCCAAGGTTGGAGACCACTGGTTTAAATGGTTTAAATAAACAGGTTTTTTAAAAGGATCTGTGATTTGTTTTTGTTTAGTGCCTTCAGGTCAGTCTTGATTCCTAATGACTGT